TTCCGGAAATGTTGTCGACGGGGGGGGGGGCGAGGTCAAAAAAATTTTCCGGATTAATTTAGTCAAAAAAATTTTCCGGACTAATATAAGCATATTCAGAATTTTTTCGACCAATATAAGCAATGCTTCCGATTTTTTCACCGCAAATGTAACTGAAGCTTTAAAATTGCGAATCATTTCATTTATTTTAACATCTTCGACCATCTTATATCCCAAACTTTTACCAAATTTTTCGGAGTTTTACCTTGAATTTTAAGCAAATATCAGTTCCATTTTGACCAACTTTGGGCAAATATCAGTTCCATTTTGACCAACTTTGACCAACGTTTGAATTATTGGGGGGGGGGGATGTTACACCCCCCCACACACACACACCCTATAGCGACGTCCCTGATTGTTCGCAGTGGTCATCTTCTGTCCCATACTGGATTCAGTTTATTCGTTTTAAGGTTACTTCACACGATGAACGTGCGTTTTAGTCTATTGGACATTGCGCAATGAATTTTAGGTGTAACTTTACCAAATTTTCAGTGAAGAAAGCCAAGAAAATGCTGATTTCGAAAATGTTCATTTGATGGGTGTTCTGTTTAAACATTTTCAGTATTGGCTGACTGAGTAAATATGTAGGTACCTTCATAAAAAATCGAAAGATGTTTATAGTTTACCTCAACATTTGTCTAGATATCGCAATTCGAATCTTCATAGGCATGGTAAAAAAAAACATGTGCGGAAAATTTCTCTTCTTTAGTGGTTTTTCTGATATGCCCTGCCCTGACTCTTGGATTTGTCACTGATAATTCACGAAGTTGTCAAAGAAAATGTCATATCAGAAAAACCATTGAAGAAGAGAAATTTTCCACACACGTTTTTTTTATCGCACCTATATGAATATTCAAATCGATATATGTAGACAAACGTTGAGGTAAACTATAAACATATTTTGATTTTTTTATGGGATACCTATGTACTTCCTTAGTCAGCCAATACTGGACATGTTTAAACAGAACACCCATCACCAAATGAAGATTTTCGAAATCAGCATTTTATTGGCTTTCTTCACTAAACATTTCGTAAAGTTACACCTAAAATTCGTTGCGCCATGTTCAATAGACTAAAACGCACGTTCATCATATGAAGTAACCTTAAATATTATTAAAATAATGGCAAACTTTAATCAATTAACCATTAAGGTCCATACAGACCGAACGCGATTCGACAACGCGACGCGAATTTTCAGTTTTGCATTGAAAATTGAAAATTCGCGTCGCGTTGCCAAATCGCGTACGGTCTGTATGAACCTTTAAGCTGCAATGCGTCCAAATGAACTCGTCAAGGAGAGAGACTTGCGCATCAATGAGTTAACAACCACCTTTTACAATTTATTTATACTTTTAGCACTTATTCTGTACGTACTTTCCTCGCAGTTTGTTCCTTCATAACCAGGTTTACATCTACATTGATATGAATTTACTCCATCAATACATTCTCCATTTACACATGGACGGCCAACACAATCATCTAAAAATTTGATTATTAACTTGTGGAGTATTACGCATCATTTAAGTGCTCAACAATTTTACTTTGTTCCAACTTCCAACATTCCAGATGGTTGATTCAAGTTGATCTATAATCACTTAGCCGTACACTTCCGCGAGAAATGTAGAAGTGAAAAATGCCGTCATCAGAGAAAGACTTCATTGAAGTCCACTTTGGTTAAATTTTGTAGTTTTGTGTCTAACCCATGGTATATATCTGGTGAACTCAATTTCAAAGTGGGACTAATCAGTATACCTGGAGTTTGAAACTTTGAATGTTTAATTAATTAATTAAGTACGTTTTGTTTCAGCATGTGTTTAACCGAAATTAAGGTGGCTCAATACAGTTTTTTAAAGAATGGAAAATTCACGATTTAGATGCGTATTTTTGGACAATTATTACTTGTTGATAAACAAAAAGTATACCTTACTTATATAAAACAACATCTAAAAAGTTTGAATATTTGCACAAAAGTTACGCAACTGTAGTTGCTATGGCAACAATGACGTTTCAAGATGGCCGCGGATAATTTGGCTTTAAAGTAATTTAAATCGTAAACGACATCGGTGACCCCCAAATCTTATTTCTCTTAGTATAATCAATTATTTTGACAATTTAAATTTAAATTAGGTAAAGGTGATTATTCATAATATTTTTTTTGGCTCCACAGAATTTTTTCAAATTGTCAAAATAATTGATTATACTAAGAGGAATCATTTTTTGAAATAAAATGTGGGGGTCACCGAATAATTGTCCAAAAATACGCATCTAAATCGTCAATTTTCCATTTTTTTAAAAAAACTGTATTGAGCCACCTTAAAATAAACACATTTTAGGCATAAAGTCATGGAGAAAGCAACATAGGAGTATATTTTGATAACATAGGCATCATATAAAACCAAAAAAGTTTTTTTAATTTTTTCAAAAATCTGAGAAAAATTTGAGGGGCATTCCACCTTAACCGAAAGTAATAATATAGTGAAATAAAGTATAGTAAACTGCCGTACAGTAATTATATTTACCAATCAACGTTTCACAATTATTCCCTTCATAATCCGAATCACAGCTACATAAATACGAATCACCATCAGGAATGCACTCGCCATGTTTGCATGGTAACTCCTGCTCACATATGTTATTTTCTGTTTCCTCTGAAATCAAATTTTCAATTAACGTAGTTCTAATTTAGCATGATTGATCGCTTTAGAAATGAATATTAATTATAGGAATATGAATATTGATAATATATTTGAAACAAAAATTGGAATGTTTTGAGGAATTCTTAAGGTAGGAATATGAATTTTAGAGGTATGAATATTTAATATTTAACGAAAATATTCCTCTTCATTCCCGAATGCATGTCAACCATGTAATTCACGCAAATGACATTTTACATTGACAGTTTTATATCTTTAGTATAATTATATTGAGCCGCTATATGGTCGCTCATGCGCAAAATATCAATCTTTTTACGTACTGGCTAGACACGTTACACACACGTTACACCACACGTTACATAATAATCTGTAGTAAAACATATAGAGATAGATATGACACGTTACACACGTCACACCCATTATTTTTAAAAAGAGATATATAGTAATTATTTTATATAAAATTGGGTATAACGTGTCATATTTATATATATTTTACTATAGATTTTTATGTAAAGAGGGTGTAACGTGTGTGTAACGTGTCAGCGTTTGCTTAATCAAGCCAAGTGCATATAATTTACATGAACTAATCACTTTAGATTAGTTGGTGAACATCCCACAAGCATGCACAACAGCATATACTGCAATATAAATGACAAAGCTTTCTTATTTGTCATCATATGGCTAAGCTGAGGGACTGATGCGACAGATTGTTAGACATAATTATTCCTAGATCTTTGAAATTTTTCGTAACTTTGAGTGGTTTTCCAAAGAGGTTGTACGTAAGTACTGAGAAATCTCGGTGGTTGGATTATTCTCATTACCTCATTCTTGTGAAGGTGGAGGAGAGGTAATAGGGGGGGGGAGGCTTAAGAGAAGGTATATATTAGAGGGAGAGGGGCGTACGTAAGAAGGGGTTTAAATACAGGATTTAGCAGCAAAAGTTATGGGTTTATAAATGTTTATGATCATACCATGGATAGTTCGGAAATAATTTTTATGATCCATGATCATACCTGGGGCAATTTCATAAATGTAATTATAATAATCAGGCCCAACGCATTCTGTCTCCACACTGTCATCACATTCGTCATAGTTTGGCTTGACTCCCCAACATCCCTTGACAGAAGGTCGTTTGAAAAATTCTGGTTTTAGTTCTCCTGCCCAACATTCCCTAAAGTTTTGCACGCCAAAGAAACGGTAGCCACCATCTTGTGCCTTGTTTGCGCAACTGCAAAATGACAAAACAAAAAGTCCAGATAACTTAATTAAATAACATTTTCGCTGTTATTCTTCTGTCCAAAACGAATTTATTGTATCTGGGCGAATTTTTAGGTGAACCTTTTCCCATAACAGATGCATACGAGCAGTTTTGGGAACAATAATAATAATAAACTTTATTTTGGTAAATATACATTTTTACCTGAGAAGGTATTCTACCAAATGGCCCTCTATTTCTATAATCATCTACAATCCATTATTTGTCTTTTAATTGTTTTAAAAACCCATTGTTCTCCTTGCCACCGTAGTCACTATATAATGTGTCACTGTCAGTTCTTCTTTCGGAATGGTTAACTATTAAGCTTCATGTACACACTGAAATCTGGTATACAGCTAATTCAACCAAAATTGTCCTTCCAAAAACTTAAACCGTAAACTCTGAGCGCGCAAGGGATGATGGGTTATTGCTTATTTAGACTCATAAACTTTGAAATTTGGCTTTGCAATCATACCTAAGACATATAGAAGACTCATGGCAGAAAACATACTTGCTGCAAAGGCAATTTTCTGAGTTTAAGGGCCTAATGGGTGAAAACCCATCATCCCTTGCGCGCTCAGAGTTTAAGGTTTAAGGTTACAGAACACCTTTGAGTGTTAATTGTGCCCAAAATGTTTTTATTGGTTTCCATGAAAGCATTAGACTAGTTCTACTATATGACCAAGTTTGAACGAAAAATGTTGAAAACTCGCAGAGTTAATTAATTTAATAAAATACATTTCGCTGCAATAAGAAAAACATTGAAAATGTAATATTCAAATTCAATTTTCTCCCGAAGAATTTTACGGCAATTACTGATTTTTAAACGAGTTGTGCTCCTCAAATTTTCACAGGACATAGCTACAGACGTCAGTTTCAAACTTGTGTTCGGCTTTTTTTTAATTTTGGATATTTTAATAATAAAGAGCAATTCACTCAAACAATTCAGAAATATATTGCAGTCGTCAAAGAAATCGCCATATCAGCGGAATGATGAAATAAACAAACATTTTCGAACACAATTTTTTAGAACTATTTAGTTACTGTATAAAAATGATATTTTCATAAATATAACTTAAAACCAGCAGGAGCACAACTCAAAAGCGTAACGGTACCGCGATTTAAGATTTTCCTGAATAATTCTTACATTATTTTATTGTTTGTTAATTTTACAACTTTACCATATTTTGCATCCACTGGCGAACATTTGGTGAAAATTTGATTAAAATCGGACTGATATTGAGTGCGCAGTAGCGATTTTCCACAAAACGCCAAAAAGGGTGTCCTGTAACCTTATAAGGTTTTGGAAGGACAACCTTAATTAAATCAACTGCATATAGCACTCTAACCAACTGAACTACAGAGTCCAGTTGTCAAGCTCTAACCATAAAAAACACAATGGTTTTGTTAGTAAGGCGAGGGTTTCTGCATGCATGTATTTTCTAGTACATTTATATTTAGACCTAACTAGGATCGAGCAGACCGGAATGGCTGGGCCGCAGGTTTAATTCCTGCCGGAGGGCTTAAAAGTTGCATTTTACGCAACTTTGCTGCATGTTACGTCGAAATAAATGTACTAAATTTACACACGAAATGTACATCTACAAAACCGTTCAACATTCGTTCAATCGCGTGCGATTCCCAAAATAATTAATCCTGATGTCTCCGAGTGCCGGTTAGTTTTCTCCGCCAGGTCATGTTTTCGTCCGCGTTTGCGTGTGTATGTTTGTCAGCATGATGTGTCGTGTGTACATTTGTCTGTCGCGTTCAAACAGGCTAAACTAAAAATGCTTTTATTTCATTACCTATACGAAGACAAATCAGAAATAATTATTTTAAACACAATTAATCAATAATTTTGTGCCCAGCTGCAATCTTGGACAAAACCCTTGCATGAGACCATTCCAGCTAATATTACAAAGTTATTGAACATTGACAAAACAAAGTTGTCTCCCCCTCCCCCCCCCCCAGTTCAATGTTGTGAACAACGCCGAAACAACTTTTGGTAATATACCATGACACAAGCTCAACATTGAGTTGATGGAGCGGGGGCTCAAGAAGGGCAACATGATTCAACATGGAGTTTATCATCAAATATTTGAATTTTCTATAGTCTCAACCAGTTATGTCCAAGGTTGTAGGTTGACCCGCGTATGTAGAGTAGAATAGTGCACGGAAATTAGAGTAAACGTTTGAAAACCAAGAGTTTACAAAGATAACACCGAACGAAATGCAGAATGCATGTTAGCGCGCGAGTACGCCCAGAATGTAACTCTAACAAGCTATATTTTGGTCAAAACTACCAAAGAAAGAGGTAACATATACGATGTCAACTGATGAACTTACTAGCACGTCACAATGTGCAGATAATCATTCCACCCATCGTACCAATCAACCTTCTCTGGATAATCGCTGATGTGTTCTGGCAAAGTTCTGTGTTTTCCTCGATCAGAATAGCAACCTTTTTTTATTACTTTCGCTTTACACTGAGAATTGGTCAAACTAGAATCGTTCGCAGCTGCAAGAAAAAAAGAATTTAACTGGCATACTAATTCATACTAATGGTGAATTTTGTATCTGTATTTAGACAGACCCCAGCTCCCAGGTCTTCAGTAATGCAATAATAATAGCGAAGTGGGCTGGTCTAATAAGCATCAACCAATGGTTTTGCTAGTTTGATCGCCATACATGCGCTGATAAATCTTGTCCTCGTTTGAGTTAAAAGATAAAAGAGAAGGAAATATACGCTTAAATATTTTTAACTGATGTCGCTAATAAATTTAAATATAAAACCAACTTACAAACTAAGGCTGAAATGAGAGTTATGAACAAAATGATATTTTTAATCATGACTGATTTTAACCAGAAATCAATTGTTCATGCGTGTAGATGAAGAAGCAATGAAATAGCAATACATGAGCAGAACAAGCTACTTATATAGCAATGACAAACAATAAAGTAATATGCGGTATATCTTGGCGCTTCTACTCTCAAAGTTAACCTAATTAAATTAAAGCTGATAGCCTTGACTATAGGCTAGTAATTAAAGCAAATGAGTGATTTCATTGCAATATAAAATTTTAATAAAAAAATATTGGAGTAATTAAAACTAAACATAAAAATTATATTAAAAATAGATATATATCTTTTAATTTTATAATAAATCTTCCAAAATGACAAAACAAAAAGCAGAAATATCTGATTGCTCATTGACGTATATATAGCTATATAACCTGAAACAATACTGTATAGTTATTCCGAAAACAGTATATAAACATGTTTCAAAATTGTTTAATCTACGAGTACGTTTAATTAGACTAGATTTAAATCATCTTTAATTTCAAATCAATGTTAAATTTACTATTTTCGGAGTGACGCGCATTGTGATCATTCCTGTGGAGTGTGGTCGGTACACTATCATTCTGTGCATGGTGTACACATGCATATTCACCAAAAACGGTCAAAAATTTACAGTGGAGGTAAATATGTGAATCACTGAATGGTGAATAAGAATGAAATTTTAATTAAATAAAAATTCAATTTCAAATAAAGGGGGGCATTGTTCCATATATTTAAAGTGTTTTTTTAATATCCCAGTTAGTGATTTGGATGTAAAATATATTAAATTTCCCACATCACTTAATCGTGGCTCCTTTCTGCTTATTTATGGTACGCACCCTACTATAGTACTTCAGAGACCCGGCCGGCCTTCAGAGAAACTTAGTTTTGCAGTTGGGAAAAAGAGACACCCGATAAGTCATAACTTCATGCTTTGCTTTGAACCAGAATGTTGAGGTATATTGCATAGCCATAAGGAAACAATATATGCCTATATAAGCAGCAAACTCGACTTGATTCATATAAGTCAAAATGCTATCACGATAATTTGACAGTTAGGTATAGAACTACCATCACGTAAATCACGATAATTTGACAGTTAGGTAGAACTACCAAATGCTAAAAGAATTCACGGTTGGAAAAGAGTGGTGCAAGGAAAATGTTATAGATAGAAATTAGAAAATATATCAAGAATTTGGCATTTTGCAACAACATGGTGCATCAATTCAAGGCGGAGTAAAAACTAAAACCTTGGCTTATACTCTATAGTCGAGCTCTCGCTATTATGTTTTTTGCTTTTATTTTTCACTTTCTCCCCCACTATAAACATTTGTCTTGGTTTCAGTGAAATATATTACTCATTAAACTGTTTAAATTGGTAGTAAATTACATTAAGCGCACAGCCATATAGCATGATTGCAAAATAATTTGTAGCAAAATTTTAATTGCTCATGCTTTCTTTGTATATTTTAATTAAATCTGAAATTCCATAGAAATTCAGCAGTTACTGAGTAAGGTGTTGTTGCCGGCATTTGTTGTCGTTGGACGAACCTTTAACCGTTGAAGGTTCGTCTGCACAAATTGCATGCATGTACTCATCTTTATAGCCTAATGCCAAGACGCATATACATGCAGGGTCGATCAGGGTGTATAACTTTACAAGTCAAGCTATTGTTAGAATTCCAATACAGCACTATGCTGAACCAACTATGGTGAGTAGTGAATTTAATGCAAAGACTTTTTGAATTTGGTTTCGTACCTCGACCTATGACCCTCGACACTCGACAATTACCCAAACTCGTCTACAGGGTGTCACAAAAAAAATTGACACTATAGAAATTATCGGTAATTAATAAAACTAGAATAGTGAAGCGAATAGTCGACGAATAGTCCGCGAATAGTCGATCGACGAATATTACGAATAGTCGACGAATAATACGAATAGTCGAGGAACAGTGCAATAGAGACTTTGCAAGGCTTTGCAAAGAAAAAAGTTTTTCCAGACGAGTACGTTGTAATTACTTTCCAGCGACTTTATCTCAATTTTTGATACCACATTTCGATACTTTGCCAAAAAATTTCCTTTGCGCGGAAATATTTCACCAAAAAAAATGACTGGGACCCAACAAAAAATTTCTAGGGGCCCCCAGAACCTGGGGGTCCGGGGCAATTTCCCCCCCCTCTCGGCGGCCCTGTGCAAGGTGATACGTATCGACCAGACTTGCATGCTCTTAATTACTCCAGACAAATCTCTCTATGTCGTCGAACTTACTGTTGGATTTGAAACTAACCTATTTATAAGTGACCATGCATAGTTTGGTATTTGCAATAAGGAAAATTTCTGTTGTTAAAAAACAAGAAAAGAAAGTTTAGATAAGATAAGAAAAATGAAAAAATTTGATCATCAAAAATTTGTTGAGGATCTGAGGCAACAACGCTGGGAAAATGTATACTTCTTCGCTGAGGATCCTAACGCTATGTGGGAAATTTGGAAGGAATTATTCCTAGAGCTAGGTCTTGGATAACCAGCCATTAGAACAAAAAAGTTCCTTGGATTACAAGTGCTATAAAGCAACTTATTTATAATCACAAGGGACATATTCAAAAGAAAGGCCATTATTACAAACATAGAGATAGACTGGTTAAATTACAAAACAACGAGAAACAAAGTTAATATTCAGCTAAGAAATGCCAAAAAAAAATATTATTCCACTAAAGTTTCTGATCAAAAATGCAATCCTAAAGAGGCTTGGAAAACTATAAACAATATACTCGGTAGGCAACGCAAACCAACAGTAGTAAATGAGTTAAAATTAGGTGAAAATAATTTAACAAATACCAAAGATATTGCGGAGGGCTTTAATGATTATTTTTCAAATATTTGCCCTGATCTAGCTAGCAAAATTAATACTCCAAATTTGAACTTTCAAACATATATTGAAAAGGCTAAATCAAATTCATCAGTGCATTCCAGCTAGTCACTGTCAGTAATGTCTACCATCATTTGCATGGTCTTTCTAGCAACAAAGCCACTGGCGTTGATAAGATCTCCAGTAAAATTATTAAAATAGCTGCACCTGCTATTTCAGATTCACTCACATACATTTTCAATCAAGCTATTACCCTATCCCTTTTCCCTCATGAATGGAAAACGGCTAGAGTAATACCTCTCTATAAAAATGGCCAACGAAACCTACCAGGAAATTACAGACCAATTTCAGTTCTGCCTGTCATTAGCAAAATTATGGAGTGAATTCTGTACGATCAACTATACAATTATTTAACAAATTTGAACATCTGAGTGATTGTCAATTCGGTTTTCGTAAATTTCACTCTACAGCTACCAGGGCATTTTTTAAGAATTCGTCAGTGAGGGGGCCGTCTACAAAAAGGGACCATACTATACCGAGTGCATGTGGAGAAATGATAGATGGTTTGTTGGTAATAAAAAGTTTGTTGTGATATCGCATTTAATACTAAGTGGGGGGGGTCTGGGCTGGGGGTATTCTCCCCCAGAAAATATTTGTATTTTTCTACCCCTATGACTGCAATTCCCTGCATTTTCTGAAACAGATTTTTGGATATACAGCATTACATTATGCGGTTGATAGACTGAACCTTCAGTTAAGTTCTTGCATAGTATGTTTATGTAGATACCACAACTTGGTCACTCAGGGAGCCTGCTTGATAAACTTAGAGGGCCCGACTCCCACGAAGCTCCACCATGGTTGGCACAGAGCGAAAAAATTTTGAAAATTTTGCCTCTCTAAATTGTCAGAAATGGCATTTTCAAAGTCTTCTCTACCTCTTTTGTTAGGCCCTTTCATTAATTCGTTCATTATGATTTGTGAGTCCATGCTATCCGCGAGTCAGGATGGATTATTGCGAGAAATGTTATCAAAATATCGATTACAGATATTTGATTATATATATATATATATATATATATATATATATATATATATATATATATATATATATATATATATATATATATATATATATATATATATATATATATATACGATTTCAAATACTTCTAGTTTCGAAATCAATTTGGTTTTTTTTGGTGGGGGCCAAAATTATTCCCCCCCTTATAAAACACTGGGTTGGGGGCCCGTTGCCCCCTGCGGTCACTAACTTGATTAGCTGAGCCTTCCAACAACTCAAATCTATAGGGTCTGGGAAATGCAATCCACTGGAAAATGTTTAAAATCTAATAAGGTATTTACAACACAATGTTTAGCATTAAAGATAAAAAACAGGACATAAGATTCACAAAGCAAATTTCAGTTGCTAGAATATCGATAAAACCTCCCTTCTAAATTCCATGTTTTGCTTATACCTTAGAGAAAAGGAACTTTGACTGGGGGGGGGGGAAATAGTTGAGTGGGGAGGGGCACCAAGGGGGGCTGGGGGCGCTTTGGCCCCCCAGTTATATAGTTAAAAAATGCCCTGACAGCTACAGCATTACTGGACTGTACAAATGATTGGTATATGAATTTAGACCGCAAAATGTTTAACCTAGTAGTTTAATTGACTTGAAAAAAGCATTTGATACTGTTGATCATCAAATATTATTGAAAAAATTAGAGCTTTATGGAATAAAAGGACAAGCTCTGTCTTTTCTAGAATCATATCTCTCAAAAAGAAACGAAAAATGCCTTATACAAGGATCTGTTTCATCAGAGAAATTGATCAAATGTGGCGTACCACAAAGCTCTATTTTAGGGCCCCTATTTTTTCTGTTATATATTAACGATTTGCCTCAATGCCTGGATAAAACAAAACCTCGGTTGTTTGCTGACGATTTAAAATTCTTTTCTCTATACTTTTCGCACGCCCCTCGTGGAAATCAGCTTCGGTTGACGGGGTCAGCGTGATTAAATAAAGTTTATCTATCTATCTATAACGTTGGACGCAAGAAAACCAAATATAGATAGGATTGGATAAAAACCTAGCCTACGGTGTAGATCCCAGCAGAAACGTGTTGCTGCTGGAGTCTACACCGTAGGCTAATAAAAACCCGTATTTCCTCTTTGTGACCTTATATAGCTAGTATATATATGTATATAATAATTTGTGATTCATGTAGCTAGTAATTGTAAATTACCATTAATAGTGAGATTTATAATTGTATATATAGGCAAAAAAGCTTGTATCAATAAACTTTTCGTTATTTACTATTCATGATTTATTTACTATTTGTTTGTTTTTTTTTACTATACGTTATATTTATTATTAGTACTTCTCGGCCTACTGGGCCCTTGATGTCCTCCAGGACTCTCAGCGGTATTAAAATTCTAAAATACTTTAGTCAAGATAATTGATACATTTGCTTGATTTCTTTTGAGCTCTGCCATCCATGGCAGCAGTTTCAGATATACGTCCAGTTTTAGTGCTTCTAGCTTGTAATTTTGGCAGTATTCATGAATAGGCTTTAGTTTCAGCACCTTGTTCATCATGGCCATTGCATGCTGTGTATGCGGAGATTTTGCAATAAATCTTTGTATGTCGGTACAGTCCTTTGCATAATCGTTTATCAGTACTGCCCAAGGATCTAGTTCATTTCATTTGTCAATTATTCGTCATGTGAAGATTTTGAGACGAATGAAACATCATCATCTGATTCCGTCAGCGCATCTTTTATAAATTGGATCCGTGATCTGTGTCAGACTCATCAGAATAGGAATCGTAATTGTTCTCATTTCGTGATGGGCAATTGATTCATTTTCATGTCTTCGAAGATTAAAATCCTTGATGAAATAGTTTTCCACAATATCTACAACTCATTCAGCTAGCATCGCAACAACACAACACAAATCAAATGACTACCTATCTATATAGAGCATTATAATCAATATTGCCGTATTATAATCAATATTGACCTGAACCAACATGGCGGCCAAATTTGTAAGATGAAAGTGAAACCCAAAGACAGCAAACGTTTTCTTCAGAACAATATAGGCGTTTTGCCAGATATAAACAGTGTAGGTTTACACAATTTTGACTAAGAATTATAATGGTCGTTTTTCTCGAATCCAACTATTAAATGGTAAAAAATAAACTGCAATATTAGAGCGCAGCTTTTGCCACGTCCACATGCGCTCGACCATGACGGACCATAGCGAAAACAGTTGCGTTGCTTCATGTTTACTCGTTATTCTCGAAAAATCGATGTTTTACTCTAGCGTTGAGTTAATAGGCTTTCCAATCAGTAGATCGATCCGTTTGGATCAAAGCCGATGGAGTAAAGATGCAAATCTACTCAATGTGAGTAAAATGAGTAACCAGTACATTCCGTAAATGTTTGAGTAAGAAATATTGAGCAGCAACTCTGACTCCATGCAGAACCCCCCCTATTTTACTTTCGAATTTCGTAATCATGCAAGACTGAAATTGATGTGAAAAGAACTACTATTCTATAATTGAAACTTGTCACGCGTCTTTCACCGTTTAATGCTTGACATATTCCCTGAAAATGACCAGTAATATTTTGATATTCCATCGTCGAGTAGCATCAGGTTTGACTAAAACATTCAGCTGTATTATATTGATAAATGCTATTGTAGTGATGTCATAATTCTCAACAAGGTTGAAACGCACCATCAGCACGCTGAAAACATCGTGCGCGTGGTCACTATATGAGTTTCCCGTATCCCGGCGGTGTTTTTATGATCCATGACTCATGAGACTAAGGAGCGACGCTTTTGCACTTACTGTCGCTCCACAGTCGCATAGTACGGCAAGACCTGCCGCTCCAAACGCCGCGATTGTGTATAGATAGCACTTAGGTTATTCGGTAGCACTTAGCTATTAGGTTCGGCGCATCGAGAATCGATCCGGGCCTATAATACAGGCTAGAAAACGCAAACAGTAATTTGTGCCTAGTTGTGCGTGGATTAATGCAACATATTAATTGATATATTCAATTCAACGAGGCACTTACCTGACCCATTCTCCAAAGAAACTACACCACCAAAGAAACTATACTGAACTGCCAAACAATTTAATACTATACTCCGCAGATAAGCGCAATAATCATTACTTCGCAGATTCAGTTTAACAGCTATATACACCGCTTATTTTAACTCTACACTGCCGTCACTGCGCCTCCTATAAAACTGGCCTGAACCCAGGGCGCGCCTCGTGTAACGAGTGATCCAACTGCGATATACAGAGCGTGAATTTGATTGGTTTATATTAACCAATTAGAACAGACGTTGCGAGCACTGCGACCTTACTGCGGAATTAGAAGGCCTCATATCCTAAGCTGGCCGAGGAGGGCCATGACATAAACATTCGCCTTTTTTACCATTACGTACACTCGTTTTTTTTCTTCAAAATTTATAACACTCGTCGTTTTTTCTTCAGAATTACATGCGACGTTTTTTTCCGAGAATTACTTACGACGTTTTTTCCAAGAATTACACGCGACGTTTTCTCCAAGAATTATACGCGACGTTTTTTCCAAGAACTACCGGGTGGCCCAAAAAAAAGCACTCCTGTTTGATTCGTAATAACTTCTAAACAAGTAAAGTTTTTAAAGAGAAATAACTTGCATTAAATAGAGGAAGGACTAACTTAGATTTTGATATATTACAGTTGTATTTAACTTAAAAATTCACGGATATATTAATGTTAAAAATGGGGAGCATATTTTGGAATGTGTCTAAAATTAGCGAAAATCGGCATATCAAATATTAACTCCAGCGTTTGTTTGCTTAATGACATATTAGGCTAACTTGTATTTCAGCGAATTATCGTTAAGGTTTGTATAAAGGGATATGGCGTATAGATTTAGACATCTTACATGTAAGTCTTAGCTCATTGTTTCCTGAAATATGAACGTTCGAAATTATGCAAGTATTTAATATTAGGTCTTTGCAAACTTAAATGTACATGAAAGACTGACCATGGAAGGCAGGCGCTTAAATTTTTCGTATTCTTAAATAGCCTAATTTTTTTATGTTTTTAATGGGTTCAAACAGACTGAGTAGATTATTTCTCGGTTAGAGCAGGATGAATATTCTTTATTGAAGGAAATAATATTGCTTTTTGCAAATACACATCACCGTATCAACGCTACTATTTTGTTACGTTTTGTTCCAAAAATGTTGCATGTCTCTGGGGAGTTGCTTAATTGTTATGTCTTATGGAGTTGTATGGTTTGATTGTGTTTCATATAATTCTCAGTTTACTCCATGAACTTGCCAAGATTAAGAAACGGCAAAAGAGTTTGGGTGTTCTTAACAAGATTTCAGAACGTTGCAGAAGTTAGAAGAGCTTCACAATTCCGTTGTGACAGCATGCCCTAATTCAGAACTACGAACGATCCAATGACGATCCTTCGCGATGCAGTGGTCTCATGAAATAAGGAAACGTATTCGTGCTAGGAACACACGCGAATTTCGGACGAATGAATCTTGCTTGTATTTTGTAGATATAATAATACTTTGTTTCATAATAAACAATTTGTCAAGTGTCATTTATTTACTGGTAATAGTGCATGTTTCAGTCGGGCAAATCTTGATTAATATTTGATACGCCGATTTTTGCATATTTCAGACACATCCAGAAATATCCTCCCGAATTTAAAGATTAATATCTCCGTGAATTTTTAAGTGAAATACAACTGTAATATATCAAAGTCTAAGTTAGTCCTTCCTCTATTTGATGTAAGTTATTTCTCTTTAAAAGCTATACTTGTTTAGATGTTATTACGAATCAAACAGGAGTACTTTTTTTTGGGCCACCCGGTACATGCGACACCAATTTTTTCTAAATGTTAATTATTATAGCAGCTTCGTGTGGTGAGCTGCAAATAAACATGGCGGACGAACCCTCGTGAAAAATGACAATAAATACACTTTTGATGCTTTTAAATCTTAAATACTAATCACATCATAATTATTTATTTTAGTCAAAAATTTTGTAGTCAACCCACCCTTGCTTTTGATATCATATAAAGAAAAATAAACCGTCGAAAATCGATGGATCAAGGGAAAGAATGGACAAATGAGCGTAATTTTCTCCGTTGTTAACTTGCTCCCGCGCTTTCACCAATTACCCGAATGCCTTATATTTTTCGGGTGTACAGTCCGCGCGTTAAATTTAAAAACAGTCAAAGACGCCTCTGCGTTAGGCTCAGATTCCAGCCGTTGGGCGAGCGAGAACCCCAACGGCTGGAATCTGAGCCTACCGGCTCTGCGTAGGAGGGAGCAAAATAACAACATTTCGCGTACCGACATTTTTCTTAGTAACTTTGTATGCATTAATCGACACCTGACCTCTCAGTTTTGGGTCCTGAGACTGAGCACAGTTTTGTGTCTTGAGACTGAGCACCAACACTTATTCCAAAGGTCGATAGACTTTGGAACAAGGATTTTAATGTCTATCACCTCACAGTGCACAGAACCAAACTTCATCTACAAGTCGTCTACCTCCTGGTCACTGAAAGTAATGCATTCTTCATAGTTTTCTATGTGGCAAGCCTTCAAATACGCCTCAAACTTTCTCTTCGCATTGTTCTCACTTTTTATGGAGTTTTTGGTTAGCAAATCTTGTCTTTTCTGTGCTAATTCTTCATCAGAAATTATATTTACACTGAGATTGTTTGACTGCGCCATTTTGAATAAATGCCCGCGAGCAAAGTCGTGTCCTTTTGGAACTGTGTGAACCAATGAGCGTCATTCCGAAGTTGTATACCTTTGGAGCGCACCAAAAATACGAGATTTATTCAGGTCTGTCGGGGTATACGAGATTTACCCCTCTCAACCTGGTGCCAGAATTCGTATCCCCCTCAGCGCTTCGCGCGCTTTGGGGGATACGAATTCTGGCTCCAGGCGAGGGCTAAATCTCGTATACCCCTCAGAGCTTTGGAATAAGTGTTAGTGTCCTGAGACTGAGCACAGTTTTGTGTCCCGAGACTGAGCACAGTTTTGTGTCCTGAGACTGAGCACAGTGTTGTGTCTTGAGACTGAGCACAGTTTTGTGTCCTGAGACTGAGCTCACTTCGGATGAGAAGATTCCAGGTTCGAATCCTGGTGGGGTCGAAATTCGAAACACTGTAACAATTACTTTTGAGAAAAAAATATAGTGCAAATCGGATGAGTTGTTACTGAATGTTAGTGCAATTTCGCAGTGACAATTTTAGACAATCTCAACAAATCTCTGTATCCAAAATCTGTCGAACGCACACCAAGCACGACGTCCTCAATACACTGAATATATCAGACAAGAAAAGTATTCAAATGACAGACAGCAAATGTACGTATTCTTGGATTTTTTATTTGTCTCTTGCTAATGGAACGTTTGCGGGCTGACCTGTTAGCTCAGTCGACAGAGCGTGGTGCTAATAACGCTAAGGTCGTGAGTTCGATCCTCACACATGCCAAATGGAACAGACGAGTAGATTTTTTTAGCCAGTGGAATTTGGAGATAGCATCGTGAACTACTGGTAATATAACAAAATTCACATGCTAATTTATCTGGGTTCTTTGATGATTGCGCATTACTTGCAAAAATTTAATCGAAGGAAACCGCCTGGCGAGATTCGCTGCACTAGATGGATACGCAGCACCACTAAATTGGAAGCTCGCGTCGAAATTGGAGTGGTGATTTTAAGATATTAAATCCTGCTGGAGACTGCAGAAACGGACGGAAAATCCGTGACATCGATTACTTTCCAAACGTTGTGGAGGACTGAAGTTCTGCCGGCAGTGAGGAAGCATACAAACTATTACTCAATGGCCTCGTGGCCAAATGGATAAGGTGTCTGTCTACGGATCAGAAGATTCCAGGTTCGAGTCCTGGCGAGGTCGTATCACATTATCATCTTAATTTATATTTATATCATTTCAAGTGACAAAATGTTTCCGAGAAATTCTTGAAGAACCTGCGGAAAATTTGGCAATTTATAATGGTACCTAGGAATTGACGACAAGTGGCCTCATGGCCTAATGGATAAGGCGTCTCACTTCGGATGAGAAGATTCCAGGTTCGAATCCTGGTGGGGTCGAAATTCGAAACACTGTAACAATTACTTTTGAGAAAAAAATATAATGCAAATCGGATGAGTTGTTACTGAATGTTAGTGCGATTTCGCAGTGACAATTTTAGACAATCTCAACAAATCTCTGTATCCAAAATCTGTCGAACGCACACCAAGCACGACGTCCTCAATACACTCAATATATCAGACAAGAAAAGTATTCAGATGACAGACAGCAAATGTACGTATTCTTGGATTTTTTATTTGTCTCTTGCTAATGGAACGTTTGGAGGCTGACCTGTTAGCTCAGTCGGCAGAGCGTGGTGCTAATAACGCTATGGTCGTGAGTTCGATCCTCACACAGGCCAAATCGAACAGACGAGTAGATTTTTTTAGCCTGTGGAATTTGGAGATAGCATCGTGAACTACTGGTAATATAACAAAATTCACATGCTAATTTCTCTGGGTTCTTTGAACATTGCGCATTACTTGCAAAATCGAAGGAAACCCCCTGGCGAGTTTCCCTGCACTTGATGGATGCGCAGCACCACTAAGTTGGAAGCTCGCGTCGAAATTGGAGTGTTGATTTTTAGATATATTAATTCCTGATGGAGACTGCTGAAACGGACGGAAAATCCGTGACATCGACTACTTTCCAAACGTTGTCGCGGACTGAAATTCTGTCGGCAGTGATAGATAGATAGATAGATAGATAGATAGATAGATAGATAGATAGATAGATAGATAGATAGATAGATAGATAGATAGATAGATAGATAGATAGATAGACAGATAGATAGACAGACAGACAGACAGACAGACAGACAGACAGACAGACAGACAGACAGACAGACAGACAGACAGACAGACAGACAGACAGACAGATAGACAGATAGACAGACAGACAGACAGACAGACAGACAGACAGACAGACAGACAGACAGACAGACAGACAGACAGACAGACAGACAGACAAAAAGACAGACAGACAGACAGACAGACAGACAGACAGACAGACAGACAGACAGACAGACAGACAGACAGACAGACAGACAGACAGACAGACAGACAGATAGACAGACAGATAGACAGATAGATAGATAGATAGATAGATAGATAGATAGATAGATAGATAGATAGATAGATAGATAGATAGATAGATAGATAGATAAACTTTATTTAAACACATTGGCCTTTTCAGCAAAAGCTGATTTCCAAAAGGGATGTGTACTTACAAATTATTATTTATATACTAGCTCTAATATTACATACATAACAAATACAATTATATACCTATTTAGACAAAAATTAACTACTACTTTAAGTCGAGATTAAGGTCGAGGAAGATAGCTTTTTACAGAACGAATTATACGATACCGAATTGCGTATCTCTTCAGGTATCTGATTCCATAGTTTAGCCCCACTATATTGGAAGCTTTTTTTAAGGATTCCGTTTTTGGTCTTGGAATATAAAACCTTGTTGAAGAACCTCTCAGATTATGCTCATGAATGGTATTCAGATTTTGGAAAGCTTCGCATAGTCGTTGGGGGGCTCAACCATTAACTGTCTTGTACATGAGCCTGGCTTTCATTTGTGCCCTACGCTCTTCAAGTGTTACCCAGCCTAGAGATTTTCGTGCCAAAATAGATTGACCATGTTCATTTTTTAAGTTCATGATCAACCTAGCCGCTCTGTTTTGGAATTTCTGTAGACGTTCGCTTAGGCCTTTATTAAGTGTATCCCATACTTCACAGCAATAATCAAAATAAGGTTGGATTAAGGCATTATAAACTTTTATCAAAATGTCTTGTTCGACATACTCCCTCATTTTCCTAATAGCCCCAATACCTGATGATATTTTACTGCTAATATGGTTAATGTGTTTTTCCCAACTCAAGTTACTCCCTTGTCAGGCGTGATAGAGTTAACAAGATAGGAGGAGGCGTGTGCGCCTTTATTAAATCATCTATTCCATTTAAATTATTACCCGAACTACAAGACGAATGTTTTGAAACCCTGTGGTTATATTTGAGACCGTATAAACTTCCTCGAGGCTTTTCATGCCTGATAGTATGTGTTATTTATCATCCACCATCCAACGATAATCATGCCCTAGTCGAATACATTATCTTAAGCCTCGATTTAGCCCTTATGAAGTACCCAAATGCAGGAATTTTCCTGGTCGGTGACTTTAATAGATGTCCTGTTTCAGCGTTACTAAGACATTTCGGACTAAAGCAAATTGTCAAAAAACCTACGAGGAAAAATGTTGCCCTGGATCTAATTCTTACGAATATGTCTGCCTGTTGCAACCCTGCATTGGTAACCTCTCCTATTGGACTAAGCGACCATAGCTCTGTGTTATGTACACTTAAAAGAAATCTGATAAAAAACGAGACCAATAAAGTGAAAATTCGACGTAATGTATATGCCAACAAGACAGCGTTTGGAAAATGGTTAGCTGATTATAATTGGTCGACTTTGTATCGTACTGTCTCGTGTAAAGACAAGCTAGATATTTTCACGAAAGTTATCAACAGTGGTTTAGATTGTTTCTTTCCGATTAAAATTATCAAACTACATGCTAATGATAAACCCTGGGTAACGCCCGAATTCAAAGAAATCATTAAAGATAGGCAAAAAGCATATCATGACAGGAATATCCAAAAGTACAATTATTTGCGTAACCTAGCCAATAGAAAAAGGAAACAACTGAGGTCCAGCTATCTTGATAAAAAAATGGACCAGCTTAAATCTAATCCTAACCCGCAAAAGTGGTGGGATTGTTTAAAACAATTCGCAGGGTATCCGAAGAGAAAGGCAATATCGTCTATGGTCCTTGACAATGAGATTGTTGTTGGAAATGTTTTAGCAAATAAAATTAACGACTTCTTCATATCAATTACTAATGAAATTACACCTTTACAGCCAGAATCTACAGAAAGTCAGTTCGAGTTTAATGAAAGTAACATTCATCCCCAATTTATTATTGACGAAGAAAGTGTGTATAATAAATTGTCTGATATATGTGTCTCGAAATCGTCAGGTTCAGACGGCATCCCAAATTGGGTACTTAAACATTATGCTTATATCTTAGCCTTACCAATTGCCTCACTTTTTAATGCTTCGATACAGCAACAGCATGTTCCTGCAGTATGGAAAGACGCTGAAGTTATTCCAATACCAAAAATATCGGTACCTGCAGACATAACAACCGATTTGCGTCCTATTTCATTGACACCCACTTTGTCTAAAATCTGCGAATCGTTTGTATCTGATTGGTTGATTAGTTCAATCAAGAACAAAATTGATAAGAGGCAATTTGGCTCTTTGAAGAATTCCTCAACGACTCATAATTTAATTAGTTTGGTACATCACTTATTAAAGGAAACTGATGCGTCAAAGTGCGCCGTTAGAGTGTTTCTTCTTGACTTTTCTAAGGCTTTCGACCTGATAGACCACAACATTTTGTTTCATAAATTATTGGAATTGAACGTTCCCCCAACTATTTTTAATTGGATTAAAAGTTTTTTAACTGGACGGAGGCAATGTGTGAAGCTGGGTAGTTGGTCTTCGAGTTGGAAAGTTTTAAACGGAGGAGTACCGCAGGGAACTGTTTTGGGTCCTGTTTTTTTTTGGTTTTTTTTTTTGGTTATGATCAACGATCTCCTCGATGAATGGCCCGATCGATGGAAGTATGTAGATGATAGTACGGCTACTGAAAGTGTCATGGTTGATTGTAGCAGTAATCTTCAGGATCTCGTCGACTATATCTATAATTGGACGGTTACAAATAATATGAAACTTAATGTCACTAAATGTAAAGAAATGATCCTTGACTTTGGTAGGGTAAAACGGAATTTCCCAGCATTATTAATCGAGAACACTGAGGTTGAACGTGTAAATTCTGCCCAAATTCTCGGCGTTACGATCCAAACCAAAATGAATTGGAATGAACACGTTAATAAAATTGTTAAGAAATCTGGGAAAAGATTGTATATGCTCAGGTTATTGAAACGAGCCAACGCTGACACTAGAATGTTATCCATCGCATTTACCACTATTATAAGGCCAGTCTTAGAATACGCTTGCCAAGTTTGGCACTTCAACATTCCAGGTTATTTGCGTGATGATATTGAAAGGGTTCAAAGAAGAGCTTTGAAAATTATTTTACCAGAACTTAGCTATAACGATGCACGCGAACTTATTAATATTCCATCCTTGAAGGAACGACGTGAGATTTTATGCGAACAGTTCTTTTTGAGAGATGAGAACCTTCAAAAATTGGATGAATTTTTACCTAATAAATCCTCTTCGGTCTATGATACGAGGGGAAATTGTAAATATAATAATTATTATTGTAAAACAGAACGTTTTAGAAAATCCTTCTTACCACAAATTATTTCGAAATTAAATTGTAAATAGTAGTTTACTCCTTTATATTTAATTATTTGTAGTATAGCTGATGTAATTTAACCTTCGGTTACAAAATCAGTAAATATATTTAATAATAATAATAATACTTTCTTTCTTCTTGCAATTCAACTCCAAGAGCTTTGGTATTTTTAACTTTTTTAATCAATTGATTATTTATTTTAACTCCTTGATGGGTATCAATATTACTTATTTTATGTCGTGTTCCAATTAAAACATACTCGGTTTTCGCTATATTTAGACTTAGTTTATTTGCACAAAGCCATTTCTGAACATTTCTCATGTCTACGCTCGCCCTCTCTTCCGCCTCACTAATTGTTCTGCCTACTGCCGTTAAGTTAGTATCATCAGCAAACATTCTTGGAGTTGTGCGTTCTAGGCAGCTTGGCAAATCATTTATATACATAATAAATAAGAGAAGGCCGAGTATACTCCCCTGAGGAATGCCACAAATGATTTCTTTCTCCACCGAGAGTATACTGGCCAATTGACAACTTTGAGTTCGGTGCGTCAAATAGCAACGTAAAAGATTTAATGCTTTCCTTTGGAAACCATACATTTCAAACTTACTTAACAGTATTTCGTGGTCGACTGTATCGAATGCTTTTTTTAGGTCAAGAAAAACAACTAAGTTATACAGCCCACGGTCCATGTTGGTATACCATTCGTTCGTACAATCCAATAATGTAGTAGTTGTGGAATGATAAGGTCTGAAACCAAATTGGTGTTTTGAGAAAAGATTATTCTGGTTAAGATACTCATACATTTGATCATACATAATTCTTTCCATAAGTTTACTTACTACAGGAAGGATTGATATCGGTCTATAGTTGTCCAACATGGACCGCTGACCTTTCTTAAACAATGGAATAACCCTTGCAGCTTTCCAATCAGAAGGAAATTGATCCGAGTCAATTGACATATTAAAAATCTCAGTAAGAGAAGGTGCAATAACTGGAGCTGCTACTTGTAGAATTTTAGCTGAAATTTTATCCATTCCAGTCGCTTTGGTGGTAGACAAATTAACTAGAAGAGTGTAAACCAATGTTACACTCACTGGTCGAAATGAGAAACTGTTCAGTTTGTCTTAGATTTTTGTTCAGTAATAAAATCTCGAAAACTAACGTCATTGTCATTTGGAATAGACTCAGCAAGCTTTGGACCAATATTACTAAAATGATCATTAAAAATGTCGACTAATTCGTCGGTCGATGTAACAGTTTTAACTGGAAGTTTAATTTCATTAATCGTAGTCTGTTTTCTGTTTCGACCTAATATATCGTTTATTGTTCTCCAAGCATATTTAGGATTCTGTTTATTATTTGTGAATTTGTTTGCATAATAATCTCTTTTAGCACTGCGCAAAGCAGTGTTGGCAACATTTCTAGATGACTTATATAGTCTCCAGTCTTCTTCTTTATTTGTCTTTATTGCTTTACGCTTAAGAGCATCTCTTTTAAATAATTTTTCCTTTACTTCCCGGCTTACCCAAGGAATATTGCCCCCTTTTCTTAATCTTTTTACTCTCACAGGGGCATGTTTATCCAGCACATCTACAAAAAATGTTTTCCATAACCGCCACATTTCATCTACATTTCTTTTAAATCTTATTTCTTCCCAAGGTATATTTTGTAAGTCATATAGAAAGCCTGAAACATTGAAATTCTTAAAATTTCTATACTCGACAGAACCTTGTAAATCAGTTTTTATTCTTGTACTTATTTTCCGAATACTATAAATGAGGCTGTGATCACTAATTCCGAGATGGACTACACCTGAAAAAATTATTTTTTCAGGCATTGACGCAATTACTACATCCAATAATGATTGGCTAGACTGGGTAATACGCGTAGGGTTATTCATTAATTGTGTAAGCTGATATAATTCCAAAACGTCTTGAAGCTTTCTAGTGGTGGACAAAGTTGGTTCTAGCATATTACAATTTAAATCTCCCAAAATATAAAATTCTATATTTTCATCATCAATTGATTTGATTAGCCTCTCAATTTTTATAAACACTTCACTAGCGGAACATGGTGGTCTATAAATACTTGAAACTATAAAAGATTGACTATTAGCCTGTTTAATTTCCACACAGACAGCTTCAAGGCCTGTTGGAACTAGATCAGGGCGATTTTCATAATTTATATGGCGTCTTATATAAATACATACCCCTCCTCCATTTCTATTCCGATCAGCACGTAACAAGTCATAACCTTCAATGCTAACAATCCCATCGGAAATAGTGGAGTCCAAACGGGTTTCATTAACTGCTAAAACATCTAAATATTTATCGTGAAGTAATAATCGGATTTCATCAAGGTGTTTCGGAAGGCTAACTATATTAAGCATAGCCATCTTAAAACCCCTTGTTTTCGGAATATTTAAACAGGCATCATTAGCACTCCTCCTCGACCCGTCCTCATTTCAATTATGCGAACTTAAGAAATATGAAAAGTTTGCCTGAAGCAAAGAGCTACCTTCTCGGTTTAAATGCAGTCCTCTACTATTTAAATGAGAGCGACTAATATTACTATTGTCTAAAAATGCAAGCTTTTTCTTGAAGCAGCTTGACTTTAATATATTGTTAGTTTCATTTACCTTCGTTGTAAGTTCCTCTCTATCGCATCTAGTGACTAAAGAAGAGATGATGATTTCAGTATCATTGCAATCCTTTTTAAAATTCTCTGCTAACTCGATAATTTTCTTTGCAATTTCTTTAGGACTTAAATAGCGTATGTCGTTTGTGCCTGCATGGATAATGAGCTTATCGGGTTGCTTTCGTGCAGTGGGCTTTAAGAAATCAGACATATCATTAACTGTTGCACCTGAGAAAGACTTAACTATTGCGTTTCTGTCAGTGTTGGCTACTTCCCAACCTTTTACATATTTTATAATCGAATCTCCAGCTATAACGACCGTTTCTTTAGTGCGTTGTCTTTCTGTTGTTATTTCCCCACTTGCCTTATGCGCTTCTCTTGTTTGCTCGTTTTCCTTTGCCTTTTGTTCGTTATTCTTCACCTTTTGTTTCTTATTCTTATTCTTCTTATGCTTTTGTTCCTGATTAATCTGCTGTGACCTCTGCTTGTTGGCTTTCGATTGAGCAGCTGAGGAAGCATACGGTGAGAAGCATACAGTGAGGAAGGATACAAACTTTTACTCAATGGCCTCGTGGCCAAATGGATAAGGTGTCTGACTACGGATCAGAAGATGGCAGGTTCGAGTCCTGGCGGGGTCGTATCACATTATCATCTTAATTTATTTCAAGTGCGAAAATGTTTCCGGGAAATTCTTGAAGAACCTGCGGAAAATTTGGTAATTTATAATGGTACCCAGGAATTCGTGACAAGTGGCCTCATGGCCAATGGATAAGGCGTCTCACTTCGGATGAGAAGATTCCAGGTTCGAATCCTGGTGGGGTCGAAATTCGAAACATTGTAACAATTACTTTTCAGAAAAAAATATTTTGCAAATCGGATGAGTTGTTACTGAATGTTAGTGCAATTTCGCAGTGACAATTTTAGACAATCTCAACAAATCTCTGTATCCAAAATCTGTCGAACGCACACCAAGCACGACGTGCTCAATACACTCAATATATCAGACAAGAAAAGTACTCAGATGACAAACAGCAAATGTACGTATTCTTGGATTTTTTATTTGTCTCTTGCTAATGGAACGTTTGCAGGCTGACCTGTTAGCTCAGTCGGCAGAGCGTGGTGCTAATAACGCTAAGGTCGTGAGTTCGATCCTCACACAGGCCAAATCGAACAGACGAGTAGATTTTTTTAGCCTGTGGAATTTGGAGATAGCATCGTGAACTACTGGTAATATAACAAAATTCACATGCTAATTTATCTGGGTTCTTTGATGATTGCGCATTACTTGAAAAATTTAATCGAAAGAAACCGCCTGGCGAGATTCGCTGCACTTGATGGATGCGCAGCACTACTAAGTTGGAAGCTCGCGTCGAAATTGGAGTGGTGATTTTAAGATATTAATTCCTGATGGAGACTGCTGAAACGGACGGAAAATCCGTGACATCGACTACTTTCCAACCGTTGTGGAGGACTGAAATTCTGTCGGCAGTGAGGAAGCATACAAACTGTTACTCAATGGCCTCGTGGCCAAATGGATAAGGTGCCTGACTACGGATCAGAAGATTCCAGGTTCGAGTCCTGGCGGTGTCGTATCACATTATCATCTTAATTTATATTTATATTACTTCAAGAGCCAAAATGTTTCCGAAAAATTCTTGAAGAACCTGCGGAAAAATTTGGTAATTTATAATGATACTTAGGAATTGACGACAAGTAGCCTCATGGCCTAATGGATTAGGCGTCTAACTTCGGATGAGAAGATTCCAGGTTCGAAATTCGAATCCTGGTCGGGTCGAAATTCGAAACACTGTAACAATTACTTTTGAGAAAAAAATATAATGCAAATCGGATGAGTTATTACTGAATGTTAGTTCAATTTCGCAGTGACAATTTTAGACAATCTCAACAAATTGCTGTATCCAAAATCTGTCGAACGCACACCAAGCACGACGTCCTCAATACACTCAATATATCAGACAAGAAAAGTACTCAGATGACAGACAGCAATTGTACGTATTCTTGGATTTTTTATTTGTCTCTTGCTAATGGAACGTTTGCAGGCTGACCTGTTAGCTCAGTCGGCAGAGCGTGGTGCTAATAACGCTAAGGTCGTGAGTTCGATCCTCACACAGGCCAAATGGAACAGACGAGTAGATTTTTTTAGCCTGTGGAATTTGGAGATAGCATTGTGAACTACTGGTAATATAACAAAATTCACATGCTAATTTATCTGGGTTCTTTGATGATTGCGCATTACTTGCAAAAATTTAATCGATGGAAACCGCCTGTCGAGATTCGCTGCACTTGATGGATACACAGCACCATTAAATTGGAAGCTCGCGTCGAAATTGGAGTGGTGATTTTAAGATATTAAATCCGGATGGAGACTGCTGAAACGGACGGAAAATCCGTGACATCGATTACTTTCCAAGCGTTGTGGAGGACTGAAGTTCTGTCGGCAGTGAAGAAGCACACAAACTATTACTCGATGGCCTCGTGGCCAAATGGATAAGGTGTCTGTCTACGGATCAGAAGATTCCAGGTTCGAGTCCTGGCGGGGTCGTATGACATTATCATCTTAATTTATATTTATATCATTTCAAGTGCCAAAATGTTTCCGAGAAATTCTTGAAGAACCTGCGGAAAATTGGGCAATTTATAATGGTACCTAGGAATTGATGACAAGTGGCCTCATGGCCTAATGGATAAGGCGTCTCACTTCGGATGAGAAGATTCCAGGTTCGAATCCTGGTGGGGTCGAAATTCGAAACACTGTAACAATTACTTTTGAGAAAAAAATATAATGCAAATCGGATGAGTTGTTACTGAATGTTAGTGCAATTTCGCAGTGACAATTTTAGACAATCTCAACAAATCTCTGTATCCAAAATCTGTCGAACGCACACCAAGCACGACGTCCTCAATACACTGAATATATCAGACAAGAAAAGTATTCAGATGACAGACAGCAAATGTACGTATTCTTGGATTTTTTATTTGTCTCTTGCTAATGGAACGTGTGCGGGCTGACCTGTTAGCTCAGTCGACAGAGCGTGGTGCTAATAACGCTAAGGTCGTGAGTTCGATCCTCACACAGGCCAAATCGAACAGACGAGTAGATTTTTTTAGCCTGTGGAATTTGGAGATAGCATCGTGAACTACTGGTAATATAACAAAATTCACATGCTAATTTCTCTGGGTTCTTTGAAGATTGCGCATTACTTGGAAAATCGAAGGAAAACCCCTGGCGAGTTTCCCTCAGGGCGCTATAAAACACGGGCGTGGAAACGGCAATGACGCCCCTGATCTATGTGTGATGCGCGGACCCCCCGTAGGTTTTCGAATATTGGAAATTCTCATTCGAATATCAACATTTGAAGAGAAAGACACGGCAAGAGTTAAAATAAGAAACATGGTCATGTTTGAAACTCATTTGCAAATGAACACCAAAACGATTTACCTCTGGGATGAACTATATGGAATGAGAGGTTTATTTACTTAATGTTTATGCTACAGTCAAGAGGGAATATTGTAAAGAAAATGTGGTTTGTCTGGAACAGCCTGAAAAGGTCAGTGCACTGTTAAAGACATAAAGTGGTTGAAACGAATATTTTTTCTAAAGATACGGTTTTTCCTACGAGTCTATAGCTTGGGACTATCTTTTAGCGTCATAGAGAACTGAAAAAAATACAAGTCGAAATATTTTTTTCCGCGCTTCGTGTTTCATGTGTGATTTTATGAGTAAAAATCTCTGACAGTGCCGGTAAAAAGTCATGTTTTAACAAAAAAGCCGGTCTCCTTTTTAAGAAAAATCTATTTTAAATAGCTTTGACAACAACTGTGCCAATTATTAGGCAAAGTTTTTCATCTAGGAAAAAAGATACAAATAAAAATATTTTTTCCGCGGTTTGAGTTTCATGAGCAAACATGTCAACATTGACCTTGTCCTTTTGAGTGAGACCATGGCCAATCAAGCCAAAAAGCTGTGTTTTAACAAAAAAGCCGGTCTTCTTTATAATAAAAATCGAATTTCAATAACTTTATTAATAACTGTGCAAAATTTTAGGCCACGTTTTTCACCTAGGAAAAAAGATACAAGTCGAATCATTTTTTCCGCGCTTCGTGTTTCATAAGTAAAAATGGCTGACAGTGCCTTCGTCGTTTCATGTGAGACCAGGTCAAAACTAGGTGAAAAAAATCATGTTTTAACAAAAAAGCCGGTTTTCTTTTTAATAAAAATCGATTTTCAATAACTTTATCAACAACTGTGCAAATTTTTAGGCCAAGTTTTTCACCTAGGAAAAAAGATATAAATAAAAATATTTTTTCTGCGGTTTGAGTTTCATGGCCAAACACATGGCTACATTGACCTTGTCCTTTCGAGTGAGACCATGGCCAATCAAGCCGAAAAGTTGTATTTTAACAAAAAAGCAGGTCTTCGTTTTAATAAAAATCGATTTTCCATAACTTTGTTAATAATTGTGCAAAATTTCAGGCAAAGTTTTTCACCCAGGAAAAGGGATACAAGTCGAAACATTTTTTCCGCGCTTCCCGCATACTAAATTAATGGCTAACAATAACAGTCGTTTCATGTACGACCATGTCAATACCAAGCCGAAAAACAATGCCTGATGGCATTTTCTCACCTGACAAGAAAACCATAATTTCTCCTGTTTCAACTACCATCTTTGGCTGGATATGGTCCCGCGGCTCAATTCATGCCTCTCCCCATCGTATAGCAGCCCTCTCTTCCTGCACCCCTCCAAAAACAGTGCGAGATCTTCGCGCTTTCATTGGATCCTACAAAATGCTCAGCCGTGTTATTGAAGGTTCAGCTTCCATCCTCGCCCCCCTCGAGAGTATTACCGCCGGGAACCAATGAAGCAGCCCTGTGGTTTGGTCTGAGACTCTTACAACCTCCTTCTACCACGCTCAAGAAGCACTTTCATCCAACAAGTCCATTGTGATCCCAAAACCTGAAGACCTACTTTGGATTGTTACTGACGGCTCTGTGAAGATGAATGGTCTCGGTGCCACACTCTATGCCCTTCGTGACAACAAATTGCTTCTTGCTGGTTTCTTCAGCGCAAAGACCAGAAAACATCAAGTTACTTGGCTCCTCTGCGAAGTTGAAGCACTGTCCATCGCGTCCGCCATCAAACATTTTGCTCCTTATATCATCCAGTCCAAGTTCCAAACCTGTGTGCTGACCGACAGCAAACCATGCGTCCAGTCTTTCGAGAAACTGTGCCGTGGCCAGTTCTCCGCCAGCCCACGTGTTACCACCTTCCTTTCCATCGCCAGCCGATACCAGATATCACTCCGCCACCTTTCTGGCTCTGCCAACTTGCCATCCGACTTCGCAAGCCGCAACGCACCACCCTGTGATGGCCCTCGTTGTCAGATTTGTTCCTTCATCTCTAAAGCTGACGACTCTGTGGTCCGCCCAATTTCCGTCCATGACGTTCTCTCTGGCGCTGTTACTCTTCCCTTGACCACTCGTTCTGCATGGTTACAAACCCAACAAGAATGTCCCGACCTACGCCGTGCCCACTCTCATCTCAAGCAGGGTACCCGTCCATCAAAGAAGTCCACCAATATTAAGGATGTCAAGCGCTATCTCAATGCTGCCTCTCTGTCTAGAGATGGTCTAGCGGTCGTTAGAAAAGAAGAGCCCTTTTCTCCTTCTCGCGAATGTATCATCGTCCCACGCCCTATCATAGACGGCCTGCTTACGGCACTCCATGTCAAACTTAACCACCCTTCTCGACACCAGCTCAAACAAGTCGTCCTTCGCTATTTCTACGCATTGGACCTTGATAAAGCCCTAGACCGGTGCTCACAGTCATGCCACATTTGTGCCTCACTTAAGAAGATTCCCAACTGTTTGATTGAACAGTCCACATCGGACCCTCCTGATGCAGTTGGCCTCTCATTTGCGGCCGATGTAATGAAGAGAAACAAACAGCTCATCCTGGTCGTTCGCGAGACAGCTACTTCGTTTACCACGTCCTGCCTAATAGAAAATGAACGCCATGATACTCTCCGTGCTAGCCTCATTTTCCTCTGCCTTGAGCTACGCCCAATATCTGGCCCATGCGCAGTAATCAGAGTCGATCTAGCTCCCGGATTTGCTTCCCTATCCAACGACGAGGAATTGCGACAACATAAAATTACCGTTGAGATTGGCCGCGTAAAGAACGTGAACAAGAACCCCGTGACCGAGAAATGCATTGCCGAGCTAGGTGATGAACTGTTGCGCGTCTCTCCAGAAGGTGGTACCGTCTCCCCTGTAACACTAGCGATTGCCACGGCAAACCTGAATACTCGTATTCGTAACAGAGGTCTATCTGCCCGTGAGATGTGGTACCAGCGTGATCATTTCAACAATTCGCGGCTTCCCATCTCCGACCTACACCTAATCAGAGAACAGCACTCTCACCGTATACATAATCACCCTGCCAGTGAGAAGTCTAAAACCCCCAGTGGTCAACGCCGAGCATCTCCCGCTCTTCAAGTTGGTGACCTAGTATATATCACTTCAGATAGCTGCAAAACTCGTGCACGAGATCGATACTTGGTTGTGTCAATTGATGGGTCGCGTGGTGTAATGTACGCAAGTTTGCTGGTTCCCAACTCCGATCCTCGCCATATCGCATCAAGTTATCAGAGTGCTTTCTTGTCACCAACAATTTCACTGCTCCACCTCCAAGTCCTCGTCTCCACCAACCTCACAAGTCCACTCCAGCTGCTGAACCCAAGCCTCCCTGTCCACCTCGAGTCCCGGAACAGTTATCCCTTCCACCTTACAACGATGATTGTGTTTTACCCTCATCTCACACCACTTGTTTGCCTGGTCCTGATTACAAATGCTCCCCGTCTAACTCTTATAAAGCTGACGAACTCACAACTAGTCTTCCTAGCTCCTGCCAGTCACCCTCCACCCCCGCTGCATCCGAAGATTCACCTGCCCCTCGACGCTCCAGTCGCCAACGCCATATAATTCTCCCGTTCACCTGCAAGACTTTGTTACATAGTTGAACGTTTATATATAGCTTAAATTTATATTGGTTTACACTAACACTCTCGGAACAATATGGAGAGAAAGACAGACAAAAAGTAGTCACGCCATAGTGTGGCTTTCAGTTGTTATTGTTATTAGTAAGGATTACATGCGCCTGCGATCTTGTTCGCGCCCAGGCGACCTATACTGCATGTTAATATATTCATGTGGCTCGTCTTGGCCTCGTTGTTTTCATCATAATATATTATTAAAGACTACCGTTTAAAGTCGTTGTTATAGCGTCGCTGTTGAGCACCCTCCTAAACATTGGCGCTGAGACTCGTGCAGCACAGTTTTGTGTCTTGAGACTGAGCACAGTTTTGTGTCTTGAGACTGAGCACAGTTTTGTGTCCTGAGACTGAGCACAGTTTTGTGTCCTGAGACCGAGCACAGTTTTGTGTCCTGAGACTCGTGCAGCACAGTTTTGTGTCCTGAGACTGAGCACAGTTTTGTGTCTTGAGACTGAGCACAGTTTTGTGTCCTGAGACTGAGCACAGTTTTGTGTCCTGAGACTGAGCACAGTTTTGTGTCCTGAGACTCGTACAGCACAGTTTTGTGTCCTGAGACTGAGCACAGTTTTGTGTCTTGAGACTGAGCACAGTTTTGTGTCCTGAGACTGAGCACAGTTTTGTGTCCTGAGACTGAGCACAGTTTTGTGTCCTGAGACTCGTACAGCACAGTTTTGTGTCCTGAGACTGAGCACAGTTTTGTGTCTTGAGACTGAGCACAGTTTTGTGTCCTGAGACTGAGCACAGTTTTGTGTCCTGAGACTGAGCACAGTTTTGTGTCCTGAGACTCGTACAGCACAGTTTTGTGTCCTGAGACTGAGCACAGTTTTGTGTCTTGAGACTGAGCACAGTTTTGTGTCCTGAGACTGAGCACAGTTTTGTGTCCTGAGACTGAGCACAGTTTTGTGTCCTGAGACTCGTACAGCACAGTTTTGTGTCCTGAGACTGAGCACAGTTTTGTGTCTTGAGACTGAGCACAGTTTTGTGTCCTGAGACTGAGCACAGTTTTGTGTCCTGAGACTGAGCACAGTTTTGTGTCCTGAGACTCGTACAGCACAGTTTTGTGTCCTGAGACTGAGCACAGTTTTGTGTCTTGAGACTGAGCACAGTTTTGTGTCCTGAGACTGAGCACAGTTTTGTGTCCTGAGACT